TGATCCGGTAATAGTGATGGTGGTGATGATGATGATAATGATGATGTATTGATGCTCATGATGGTGATGATGATGATGAAGGTTGCAGTGATGGTGCTGTATGGCGGCTGCAGCTGTTATAGTTGATCATTGCAGCATTTACATTCCTCCAAATGACATACCATTACTATACCTAATGAGGTAGAAAATAATAATAATAATAATAATACTAGTAGTAGTAGCAATAATAATAATAATAACTGATAATAACAGTAATAATAATAATCAATGGTAATAATAATAATAGCAGTGATAATAATTAATGGTAATAATAATAATTAATAGTAATAATAATAATTAACAATTAATAGTAATAATATAATAATAATAATAATAATAATAATAATAAATAAATAATAATAATAATAATAATAATAATAATAATAATAATAAATGATGGTGATGGCGTGTCTCTTTCTTCTCAACCAATCATCTCATTCATATCTTTGTAATATTTACAGACGATGAATATTTTACAAATTTATTCCTCAGATCTATGATATACATCATTTCATACTATCTCTTCCATCTTTTCGCTTTTTCATTTTTAGCTTTGTTTATCTACAATATGCCTGTGTAAAAATAAATTGAACTAATTGAATTAATAAACCGAACTCTTTTGTTTGTCAACCAATATGTAGGCGTGACATTAGCAATAATTAACTAAGCCAAACTGTGCAGAGAGAAGTTTGAGCAATTAAGTTTATTTGATCGGGAATGAATTTGTTGGGTCATATTTATAAGAGTAGCATTTTAACTGATATTTCTATTTCTTAATTTATAACTTTGCAACACATTGCATATTTACTATTTCTTATGTTTTATTTGACAAAATTATCTCAGCTTTTTAATGTTAGACTATCTTTCTTCCAGGATAAATTAAAAATGTAACATGTATGTGTTAATAACGCATAAGGTCCTAGTGATAACGAGTTGGAATATACTGATAACGTTTAAGGACATGATGACACATTCTCATAAACATATATGAGCATGAATATATAAACACATCGTTCGTACAAAATAAATCGCACACTTTGATAAAATTTTTCATCACTAATTACTTCAAATTTTATCCAGTCTTCATTTGTTCGTACTTTTTTTTTTTACGGTATGTTAATTAATCACTAACTTTTGTAAGTTGACTTTGGATAGAATCTTTCCTTTATTGTTTCTCGGCGTTATTGATAAATTTTGCATCATAATCACTGCCTTTGTGCAAAAATATGATACAGAATTATTTACATTATTCAAACGTTTATTATATACATACGTGATCCGAAGCAATATGACGCAACTTTATTGCCAATTATAAAATGCGTGAAGGTTAGTTGTTATTGGCCGAACAATGGCAACGATATCATAAATGACAATTGAATTAAGTGATCTTTGGTAACGGAATAATTGTTGTTCATTAGAAGAATTTACCCATTTCAACCGTTTTTTTTTCTTTTTTTTTTTTTTTTGTTCATCCTTTATCGTCCTTCCTTGATTTTTCAAGGACAATTAGTATCATATCAAATAAAAACCATACTGCCATTATTGGTCGAATAAAACAGGTTTTTTTCTCAAAAAAATTTATGAATTTATATACGGTTACTAATTTTATTTTCTCCATCTTTTCATGTATATGTTCGAAATTCACTTTCTAAAGTGCAACATTTCAAGTTTTCCGGCTTACTTTTTCGTATTGTAACGATTATCACAACATACTAGGCCAATGAAAAATTGATCTGTTGAAATTTACCGATAATTCAATTTTGTCGTTACTAGATTATACCGCACTAGATGAATTAGATAATTTTCGACCAATTATCAAAACTGTTTACCGCGAACAACTTGAGTTATTTGCAAATGTCATGTACCGTATTCGTCACCAACCACCCAACAAGTACACCATCAATTTTCATTGTAAACGACCTCATGCATACTGTAACAGGAGAACACGAAGCATGGTATCATTTCTTACAACACTATTGCTACTTGGAAATGAAATTTTAGAAAGGATATCATTTTCAAATAGCAACAATGCTGTGGTAATTATTATCATCATCCATCAATCCGATCGCTATTCGGACTTACGGATGATGATAATGATGGTGATGATGATGATGTTGATGATGATGATGATGCTTCATTTTCCTTTCTTATTTTTATTTTTTGTTATTTAGAAACTTCCGTGTAAAATGAATAACCACATTTTACCTCAACCAATCGTTTTGCTTTTCGAATTTCTTTCAATTTTTATAGATTTCTTGTCTTTGATTGACTACACTGATTGGCTTAGCGAAATGAAACCTGTTTTTGAGAATAAAACCATTGGTATCGGCATCGCTAATAGCAACAACAACAACAACAACAACAACAGCAACAACAACAACATCGACACTACTGTTGGGTATCTTAAAAACTGAAAACATACGGAAGATAGTAATGAGGAAATGAAATATTGAAGGAAGGTGGAGAATTTAGGAGGACGAAACGATGGATAAAGAGAGGGTTAGATCATTTCATAAAATGTTGTTTAATGCAATTTTCATTTCAACAACTTTTCATCAAGCAACATTAATATTGACTAGCTAATTTGCATTACACTTCAAAAGTCTGAATGAGGCAGAAATTTTCCCGTTTTGCTCGATTTAAATCATAGGTTTATAACATAGCAATAAGTCAAATAGCTTGTAGAAACAAAATTTGTCAATTTCATTCTAATATTTCAATGTTCAAACAAGGGTAATCTTTGTTTTTGGAGAACAAAGTGCTCAGTTTACACTTATTTCATTTTTATTTGCAGTAATTGATGAATTATTACTATCATTAATTAAGTATGATATCGCATAAGCTAAAAATATCCGTAGCGACATTATGTGACATCGATTGAAATGCATGTATGATGAATTGATCATAGAAAAGGCGACATTCAAAGTACTTTAACGATATCACATCGTTGTTACTTGTGCTTACAAACTTGTTACTACTACAACTATGTCAGTCAAAGTTAAAATTAAATTATATAAAAAGTAAATTTACTTGAAATATATTTCTTCTTTTTTGGCATAATTTGCCAGTGCTGTAACTACTCCAATTAAGTTGAAGTTGGATATTGCAAGTTAAATGAAATGGATACACTATATATTAATACACTATTAAACACTATATATTAATACACTATTATACACTATTAAATGTTTTGCTTGATAATTATCATTGTTTGATACCACTGATATGGCTAGGATCTATTTTAGTGAATATTGGGTTTTGGCTATTCCTATCTGTTATTGTCTCAAGTTAATTCGGCATGAAAAGTTAAGTTTGGATCGGTCACTCTTTGCTGAAAGTTTCATATTTTCGGTATTAAGGATAGCTGTACGACAAACAAGTAAATAAGTCATTGCGGTTGTTTGTATTTAATATATCAAGTAAAGTGTATGCTAAGCGAATTGGTCATAATGTAGAAATTTCGACACTGCTTAAATAAAAGCTCTCTTAATGTAGGAATTGAAAATTAATGATAAGTTAATTCTTATAAGGTAGTCAGTCATAATAAAACAAGTGAATACAGTTTAGGGAGCGGGGAAAGGGAGCATCATTGGAGTCATGGATGAAAAATATTCATCGATCATCACCTTGTATTAACTGTTTTAATCACACAAAAGTAAATGTCGAATCGAATTGATGTGTTTTTTTTCTCTTTTCCTTCTTTTTCCCCTTAATCATATGATGATAAGGACAGAAAGGGTAGATGGTGAGGAAGGAAGAAAGAAAATAATGAAATGACAGGATGGCGAAGGAGAAAAAGAGCAAAAGATGAACTTTTTCGGGTATTGTTGCAGTGTTATGTCAGAATTTTCATCTCAGTTAAATGTGGAAATTATTGTTTTCTAATTATACCACCCCTTGCTTCCTTTAATTTATCATATTGCGGGTATACATGTGTGATGAAAAGTGAGGACAATGGATAGCGATTCATCCGGATCAAAAACTTAGAAAATGACACATAACAAATCGATTCATTCTGATTAAAAATATCCGTTCTTCCCTCTATTCTAATCCATCTTTTACCATTTATTTGTTTAAAACTTTATGTTTAAAAAGATGCCGCTTAGCATATTACATCACTACCATTTTCGGTATAAATGATAGATTGGATGTGATGTTGTGTGATAGGCTTCAACTTGATAATCTGTGTGTGTATGTGTGTCTATCTGTCTGTTTGTCCTTACAGATTAATTAGTCCTACAGCTGATATTGTATTCACAACGGATTACCGTAAGCAACATCATAAAATTAAGCGAGCAAACTGTCCATTTCCATGGAGCAAAAAAACAAAAAAAAAGATTCCGTCACAAGTTCCACATTGATATAGTACAGAGGAAATCGAATAATATCATGAATGTTATACAGGAACTGAAATATATATTAACTGGAATAATTATAAAATAGATTAATCCATATCAAAAACGGATCTATAAATTCAATATATATATATATATATATATATATATATATATATATAGAGAGAGAGAGAGAGAGAGAGAGAGAGAGAGAGAAAAGAGAGAAAAGAAAAATTCTCAGGATGTATTCTTAAGCATTTTTGTTTACAAAGTTATATATCCCCGTTATTCCGCGAATAATCATTGGTGAATATAAAAATAATGAAAGCCATGATAAATTTCTCCAATTGTTTTATTCTATATTCAACACGAGAAAAAAAAAGAAAGTGAGAACTAGTATGATTGTTTTGTACGATTATTTCTCTATTCACCACCAATGATTAATCGCGGAACAATAAAAATATTTAAGTTTATAGTAGGTGTGGCTGAAAATATATTCTGAGACTGTCTTCTTTTTTCTGCAGGGAAAAAAAAGACTAGTATGAGTAATTGATGATAACAATTTGTCCCATATTCAAATCTATTGATGATAATAACTTGTCCTCTCTTCATACTTCTCTAATCTTTTTATATACAATAAATGAAAAATTAAATTTTGTCAAAGTAATAAATAAATTTAAGACATGAAATTCAAGCAGAAAAAAAGTGAAAGAACGTACAGTGATAAGTTTATCATTATCGATAAGATTGTCTAAATTATGAGAACGACCACAAATTTCCGCATTTTCTGATTGTGAATTTACAAATTCAATCAGCAATAAAATTAACACTTGGAATTTCCGCATTTATAAGCTGCAAATAATTGAACTTTAATTAGAGATCAATAATTTGCATAATACTTTCGAATAGCTGACGAAACTTCATTATTTTCTAGATAACAAAATAGATTTATTATATTTATTATACCAAAAAAATAAAATAATCCACAAGAATGATAGATTCATTTCCCAGAAGAATAACTGAACTCCTAAAATGTGATCATATCAGGCAGATCAGATCCCATCTATCATTTCCCAGAAGAATAACTGAACTCCTAAAATGTGATCATATCAGGCAGATCAGATCCCATCT